GCCAATGGCCCAGGGTACGTCTGTGCCGACGCTGGGATTTGAACCCCTCGGGAGCTGCATCCTAATTTGTATACGGTCGAAGGGTCAACTCTGCAGACACCCACGGATGGACGTCAAGGGGTGCAACCACTCTGCGCACATTAACCGCGCGATTGAACCGCCCCCCCATTGATGTTCTCCTTGTTCAGATCCCCCGCCTAGCGCCCCCGCCCAGCAAAAGTGACGAATGTGCTCCTGGCCTCCAGCTGCGACCCTATAGCAGGAGCGCGGCATGGTGCGCCAACTCTGGGAGCGACAGTGGCCACCAAGCCCACACAGTGGAACCGCACGGATAGGCTCAAGGCCGCCCTCTGCCCCCTCCCCCCCCCTCGCCCCCTTGCCTCCAGGCCTGCTCTGGCCCGTTCTCTCGAGGTGCCAGGGCAGCCTCCCCTCGCCTCGGAACAGCGGTGGGCATCGAACCCACGCAAGCCGCTTGACAGAGGTTGGAAAAAAACTGATGCGCACAGACTTCGGTTTGGCAGCCTTGGACGACCGCATTGGCGATGGTTTCCAGCCCTGACGCTGCGAAATTACCTCGACGTCCCAGCCTTCGCGAGAAGACAACGGGCTCGTGCATCTGGCAGCGACGGTGGGCACCACGCCCACACATCCGCATCACAAGAATGCGCCCAAGGGCGCCATTTGTTAGCTCCTAAGATAAACGGATGCGCTTTGTCATTTTGAATGAATGAAAGAGGAATCACACAACTTGTGGCGATTTCGGGAGGGAGCTTGAGAATATGCACATTCTTGAATGGCTTGCGCGCTCGTCCTCACCAGGAAGCGGGCTCGATAGTGGTCGCGCACCCCTACTTTCCAGCTCCCCCAGCCTCGCCCTGCGTGATCCTCCTCCCCAGTCTCCTGCATTCCCGGAGGGGGGGCGCCCCTCTGGGAACGGCGGAGGACACCGCGCCCACTATTTTCCTTTTACCATCCATGAGGAGCCCAGCGGCAAGAACGGGCGACAACAGAGCGCAGAGAAGCCGGAAGAGGCATAGGATGAGGAGAAGAGGAGGACCGAGGAGACAAGGCAGCGCGCCCAGGCGAGCGCGCGGAGCAACTAATTACAACAAAATAATTAGTCTGGCGCGCCCGGACGCTCCAGCAGGCGCCGCCGCGCAGCCGCCCGCCACGCCGCCTCGCGGCCCCCTGTGCGCGGGGCATCCAGGAGCAGCAGGCCGGCCGCCCGCGGGGGCAGGAACGGCACCCATCCGCTGCACGGACGGCTCGCGAGGCGCTCCCAGCCTGGGGCCCAGCACCCGCACGCCACGCAGGCCATCCGATGGGCCTTTGGGAGGCGACGTGCCCCCGCCAGGCGCTGCCGGCGAAACTCGCCCTCGCCGCGACGGCCGCCCCTGGGCCCAGCGCCGCGCGCGCTGGCCCCAGCGTCGTCCGCCACGCGGGGCGCGCGGCAGCGGCGATGCCCCGCCTGCGTCCAACGCCGCCGCACGCGCGGGCCTCCAGGGCCGTGCCCGTGGTTGGCATCGAGCGCCGCGAGCTCCGCTGCGGCGAGTACACGCCCCGCTCTTGCGCCCCCGCAGCGTCAAGGTGCCCCTTGACCCATCGCGCGGCCAGCGCGCAGCTGCGGCAGTGAGGGACGATCAGCTCCCACTGGTCTGCGTGGGCCCAGTCCTCAGGGGACGCCCCTGCCCTGATCGCCGCGACGCCGTTGCTGACGAAGCGTGAGTCGGTCACTACCTCGACGGCCCCGCCAGCCAGGCTGACGGCATGCGCCGCCGCTGTCGACCGGTCTCGGTGCTCCTGGCGGCCCGCGCCCTGGTCCAGCACCATCCCCCACCCTGCTCTGGCGAGGAGGGGGTGTATGGGGTGCGCGCAGCCGCCGTCCGTCCAAGCACGCGCACGGGCTGGCTCGGCGGCAGGGGCCGGCAAGGCTGGGCGCGGCAGCGGCCACTGCGCCTGGTCCGCCAATGCAACCAGCTTCGGGTGCTGGGGCAACACTCCGGTGAGCGACGACTGGGCCGGCAGTCGCGCGCGGGCCGCGGCGCGCGTGAGGCCCTCAGGGACCAGCGCGCCGGCGCGCGCGGGTTCCCAGCAGGGGCATGCCCAGAAGCGGTGCTCGAAGTCGTCGCGCGCCGCGCCGCAACGCGGGCATGCCGCAGGGCGCCCCCATTTCGCCGCCACCGCCTCTGTGACGACGTTGCCGGCGAGCACGGCGCGGAGGGCCCCGGCGGCGTCGGCCGCCAGCTCCCCACTTTCGAAGAGCCGTCTGGTGGCCCACCTGTCGATTCCAGCGTCCAGGTGCCGAAAGCCAGCGCGCCGCCCAGCCACCTCGCGGGCCTCGCTGGCCGCCCAAGCTCGGAGGAGTACCGCGCGCTTGTCGGGCAGGGCGCGGTCAGCCGGGCGCCAGCCGCCAGGCGAGGTGGCCACCCCATTCCAGCAATCGACGTCGGCCCCCAGCTGCAGCTCCGCCATGCTCTGGGTCGCCGCGTCCACTGGGCCCAAGCCGCGGCCGTGCCCCGCGGCCATGGCGCCAGCGGCTCGCCTCCAAAGCTCAGCGGGGAATCGGCGTTTCCGGATGGCTTTGGCGACCTGCCACAGCGGCGCGATGATCGTCACCGCCGCTTGGTCCAGCCGCCAGGTCGGCGCCAAGATGCCGAACACGATCTCCGCGGCCGCCCAGAGACCGCCCTGGCAGACGGCGTGCCGCGCGGCGGCGCGAAGCCCGGCCAACTCGCGCGCTGGGGGGCGCAAGCAGGCCGCGCCATAAAGGCCCGCGGCAGCGCCCGCAGCGGCCCCCAACGCGCAGCGCTGGCGAAAACTGACAGGCAACCGGCCGAGTCTGGCAAAACGGCCCTGCGCGACGACCAGCCGGCCGGCGGAGACGGCGCAGCGGCGCGCCCTGCCGGCTGTCGCGATGGCCCCGAGGTCCTTGAAATCCGCGCGCGCCTGGAGGCCTGGGGACTGCTCCTTCAGCCACCGTCGCAACGCCTGGCGGCTTGCGAATTGGCGACTTTTCACCCAGTTGAGCCGGCACCCCATTGCCGTCTCAAAGGCGTCTGTCACACGCAGCGCCTGCTCGAGCTCCTCCGCCGCCTCGTCGGCGCGGTCGCCGGCCGCGCGAGGACACCGCGCCCACACAAGCACGCCGCAAGAATTGGCCTGGCCACCTGCTGGACAGCTAATGCATAGAAGGGCATACGGACTGCTTGACAACTAATGCGTAGAAAGGCAGGGGAACGTCTGCCCCTCAGGTGACCGCTCCGATTGCCGGAGATGGCGAACACATGCACTGTTGTGGCGGACGCAGGCTCCTGTCCCTGACCCGAACTCCTGATGGTTCCTCCTCCTCCTCCTCCACCTCCTCCTCCTCCTCCTCCTCCTCCTCCTCCTCCTCCTCCTCCTCCTCCTCCTCCTCCCCCCGTGCCAGCAGCAGCAACACCGCCTCGGCACGGCGGTGGACACCGCGCCCACACAGACCGCACGGCAGCGGGCAGCACCGCAGAGACCGGGGAGATCCAAGGCGAGCCAGATGGGCCAGCGACCGCCCGTCGAGCTCAGCTTAAGACGCGCTGCCATGTGAGTGACTCAAACTGTGAGTGAGTCTGAGTGCGAATGAGAGTGAGTATGAGTGAGTCTAGTGCGAGTGAGTCTGAGTGTGAGTAAGTCTCAGCGCTAATGAGTCTGAGTATGAGTATGTCTGAGTATGACTGAATCTGAGTGAAGAGGACGAGGATGTGAGTGGGCCGGGTGTGAGTGGGTCTGAGTATGAGTGATCCGAGCCTGAGTGAGGAAGAGAAGGGGTGGGGGGAGAGGGAGGTGTGAGGTGCGAGTCGGGGGCGTCTGAATAATAACAAGGAACCTATCTTCGGATATGAGAAGCTAGGCACAAACCCTAGAAGAAGCTCCATGGGCAGGACGAAGCCCTATGGGCGGAACCTTCTGGCACCCAACATCCTGAGCCACATCATAAACACCCTATGGGCGGTATCCCGCGGGCGGGACCATGGCACCCCAAATCCTGTCACCTCATACAAGGGTCAAGGCATCAACCCCTTAGTGCAAGCAAGGTGTTGGGGCTGAAGACGCAGACATCCATCGAAGCAATGACGCAGCTGATTCCAATCATTGAGATGCAAAAGACTTGCAACGACAAAGACCCTCGAGAGCCATGGACAAGACAACAAAATGTCACATACGACTCCACGTGACATACAATTTGAAACACCTACTAAATGGGGTAGGGGTAGAGCCGTCGTGCCCCTGGGGGGCTCGCCGGCGGCCCAGCCGAAGTGGCCGGGCATCTCCCGAATCACGCGCGGGGCGTATGCCGCCCTGTGCGGCGTAGCCTGGCACAGACTGGGCTTCCATGCCGTCATCATTCAGCCTCCTCCTCCTCCGCCGACTCCTCCTCACCCCTGGAGGCGCTTCATGCCCTGTATCAAACCCCCCAAACAACTCACACCTATCTTAGGACCCCCCCAAAAGCTGCTGTGATCACCACGAAACAGCTCTAGAATCAGCCTCCTGCCCAGACCTCTTCAATCCGTGGGCACCTGGCGCACCTACCCCGTCCCCATCCCGCGCCTCGAGGAGGAAGAAGCGGAGGAGAGGGAGGAGCGCAAGCAGCATGAAGCGCAGCCGGTGCCGTGCTCACCTACTTGTTGACGGCATCTGATGTTGCTCTGGGTAAGCTGACGTATGCAGCACCACTCTGCGGCGGAGTGGATGCGTGCCGAACTTTGCGATCACAGAGGGAATTCAACACTGCAAATGCGTGGGCGTGCTCGTGGAGGAGAGGGCGGAGAAAGATGAAGAGGGAAGAGGGGGAGCAGAAGAAGGAGCTGGAGACAGGAGAAGGAGAGGCAGAGGATCAGGAGGAGAAGGATAAGCATACCCAGGAGGCGGGAGGGGAACGAACACGCCCCCACACACAAACAGCGTGGCCCATACAAATTTGGCCGGGCGGACGGGGGCCTGCGCCCACGGGGCCACGGCAGCGCTCAGGGGGACCTCGCGGGCCGCGTGGGGCGAGCGGCGCTCGATGCGAAGGCGGCGTCCAGGGAGGCGGCTGGTGATAGCGGTCGCGTCGTCCGCAGCGGCAGCGGTGACGGCGGCGGCAGCGCGCGGGGGGGGGTGAGAACGGGGAGGCACTTACCATGTGGACGGGCCCTGGATCGGGGTAGCCTTCGAGCATGAGAGCCCCCTCTCTGGTGCTTGGCGGGGGAGCTGCGGAGTGAAGGAGGAGGAGGGCCTGCCATCAACGCCAAAACCTGCCACGCCAGCATCGACGCCAATATCGATGCCAAGACCGTCGACTCCCGCCATTATCGACGTCTGCATCGACTCCTGCACCGCTGACTCAAAATCGTTGACTGCATCGACGCCGACACAGTCGACTCCAACGCTCCAGCACCAGCGCCAAATGTCTTCCATCTGCCCGCGCCCATCCCCACCCCCCTTCCCGCGTGCACCCCTCACACGAGGCCTTTCCTCATGACGCCAACCCCTACTTCGTGACGCCCTACCCAACGCCCACTCCGGCTCCTTGCTTGCCCGGCGCCCGCAAACGCACCACCAAGCACGCTCTGAAACGGGCAGCGCGGCGCCGGCGCCGACAATGCTCGCGCTATGACGGGTCAGCGGACTGGTCCGACTACTCGGATGCTCCGTACCAGCATGGGTGAGACTGCCGCAAACCCCACCTTTGCGGAGGACAAGGCCGGCCAGGTTACTACAGGTGGTTGCGTGCCACCTGCAGCAACGACTTCTGCGCAGCATGCGCAGTGATGGCCAAGACCAGCCCAGACCAAGACGGCTACGACGACGGCAACTACGACGTCCACCATGACGGCGAATACCACGCCCTCTCTGGCGCCCAACCCCATGGCCACTTCGACGGTCACCACGGGGCTCCAGACGGCCACCACGACGGCCACCACCACACCCACTTTGGTGGGCAGCCCGACTGCCACTTCCACAGCCACTGCGACGGCCACCTCAACAGCCACTCACCCACCCATTCCGATGCCAGACCTCAACCCAACACACTACCCGAGGCCATCCCCGATGCCCATACCCTGAGTACCGACCAGCATGACGTCTTCATGCAGCCCAACCCAACGTCCCGACGGACGCACAGCTCGGCGACCAGACTAGCGTCCTATTTGACGCCCTGCCCTGCGCCCTGCCGGATGCCCTACCTGAGACCCCGCGGCTGCACGGCCAGGTATTCCCATGCAGCCAGCTTGGTAGTCACGCTCCTCCTCCTACACCGCCTACATCGACGCCGATACCGACGATTCCAACTCCGACACCTGCGCCGATGCCAGCACCGTCGACTCCAGTTTCGACGCCGCCTCCAACGACGCCAGCATCGTCATTTTCAGCATCGACGCCCGCCTCGACGGCACTCGCGACGACAGCATCGACGCCCGCGCCGCTATCTCCAGTATTGACGCCTGGATCGATCCCAACACGGTAGACGACAACACGGTCGACGACTTCAGAACTGACGCCAGCACCGTGGACCCCAACATCGATGCTCGACGCATGCATCGTCGACTCCAGCATCGAAGCCTGCATCGATGCCCACACTGTCGTCTCTAGCGCCGTGGCCAGCGTCGACGTCTGCATCGGCGCCTACATTGATGCCAAACCTGTCGACTCCAACATTGACGTCTGCATCGGCGCCGGCACCGCCGACTGCAGCATCGATACCCGAATAGACGCCAGCATGGTCGACTCCAGCATCGGCGCCTTCGTCGAACACAACATTGACCCCAGCACCGACGCGCCTGGCGCCCGCCCGTGGGCGCCTCGTGTGCTGCGTTGATCAGCCGAAGTTTTGCCTGGTGCCCATCGGTGGGCGCCTCGTGGTCGCCTCGTGCGGTGGGGGGCCACTCACAACATGGCTTACACCACATGTACTTCACACCATGATTTGCACCACATAGCTTCACACAGCTTGCACCATATATGTTGCAAGCTTGCACCACGTAAATCTATTGCACAACGTACCTTGCACCACACAGCGTACACATGTATATTGCAGTAATCTTGCTTGGGACCCACGCTGGCAAACATGCTACACGGACAGAGGGGTGCTATCTTCAAAATTGGGCTCTCGGATGGATGGCAGTCCTACGGGACGCTCGCCGTTCAAGGGGGCGCTTCTCGCACCTGCGAGGCATGCTGGTACTGACTTCTATGGAGAGGGCTCGGGACGGGAGGTGTATGGCACGGCTAAGATCTGCGCAGGGGCGTTCGCCGGCAGGCTGGCGAACGTTATACGAGAATCTGTTATGGGTGGCACTGTCAGCGACTCAGCCTGGGTCGACGGGCCGCCCACGGAGGTGCGCCAGACTGCACGCACACGGCAAATTTTTCCCGCCGGCCGCGCCCGAGGCTCCGCCGGGGCTGCGCCAGGCCGCCTGGGAGCAGCACGGCGGCCGGCGCTCCTGCCGGCTGCGCGAGGCCCCGCCGGGCGGCTCTGGCAGCCTTTGGCGGGCTGCGTCGCGCGGTGGCCGGGCCGGCCGCCGCAGCAGCATGGGCCTCCCGCGCTAGTTTCGCGGCGACCTCGATCCCCGCTGCGACTGCGCGCAGCCCGGTGAGGACGCTTGCCGGCAAAAATCTTGCCCACGCCGTGCCGCGCGCGGGTTCGCTGGCCGTCTCTATCGCCCAGCGACACCCTTTCAACGGCCGTCGCGGGAGATGCCCCACCCGAACCGTGCACACGTAGCGCGGGGGAGATGCGCGTGCGTGGTTTTAGGCGGCCCTGGAGACGCAGCTTAGCCTACGCATCATTCCACTCATCCCTGTCCCTCTTTTCCAGCTCTTCCTCCCGAGCCTTCAGCTTCTGCTTCTCCTCCTGCTCCTCCACTCCCCCCATCCCTTGCCGCCCACCTCGCCTTCCTTCTCCTCATCCTCCTCGTCCGCCTCCTCCTCCTCCTCCTCCTTATAAATTCCCCCCTCGGACTCATCCCCATTCTTTCCTTCCTCCATCCCTCCCTCTCCGCCTCCCTCTCCGACGGCGCCTACGACGACGATGATATCGAAGACGGTGATGACGACGCAGCCGTCAACGACCAAAACGATGACGACGACGACGACGACGACGACGACGACGACGACGACGACGACGACGACGACGACGACGACGACGACGACGACGACGACGACGACCCGCGGGTGCCGCCGGACGCGCCGACGCGCCTCGGCACCAGCTGAGGGCTCCTCGGCTCCCGATGCGGGGACTGGCACCGCAGCGGCTTGTAGCTGCACCCGCCGGCCTGCGTGCAGACCTGGCGCCACGGGCTATGGTCCCCCTATTCTGTCGAGGCTCCCCCATTTCTGAGTGCACCGAAGGGGTCCTCGCGGATGCTGTGCGAATGAGGCGAAAGTGCCAATCCAATTTTGCGGGCCAGCTTCATTATATCCATATGCGTCTTGAATCACTCTCTGGGATCGCTCGTTGCTGCTTATTCGCCACCTCGTCATCCCTCATCATCCCTCCATTTCCCTCTTCTTGCTTGCTCATCACCCCCACCCATCCTCTCCCCACCCTCTTTCAAGCCCCCGATCCACCCTCGGAGCGAATGGTGAGCAGGAAGGCCAGGAGGCGGAGAAGGAGGAGCAAGGCGGGAGAAAGAGGAGGGATGCCACTGGGGCCTTCGAACATCGCTAAGAACATGAAATGAAGGAGGGGGCCCAGCAACAGGGGCCACTGAGGCATTCGGTAGAGCTCCCTATGGGGCCACGAAGCGTGTGCGGGATTCTCCGAAATCAGGGTGGAACCGCATGCGGGCGCTGCCACCGTGGCCTCATGTGGAGCTATCTATGGGGCCACGAAAAGGGTGAAGGGGGTTGCCGAAATCAAATGGAGACGCATGCTGGCGCTGCCCCATGAAGCGTGTGAGGGGTGTACCTTCGGAGGAACTCTCGATGGGGGCACGAACCGTGTGAGGGGTCGCCCAAATGGAAAGTGGAACTGCATGCGGGCGCTGCCGCTGGGGTCTTCGGTGGAGCTCCTTATTGGGCCACGAGCCGTGTGACGAGGCCGCCAAAATGGGGGGTGGATCCGCATGCGGGCGCTGCCACTGGGGTTGTAGGTGGAGCTCCCGATGTGGCCACGAAACGTGTGAGGTGTGTGCCGACATGGAACGTGGAACTGCATACGGGCGCTGCTGCTGGGGGGCCTTCGGTGGATCTCCCAATGGGGCCACGAAACGTGTGAGGGGCCGCCGAAATGGAAGGTGAAACCGCATGCGGGCGCTGCCGCTAGGGCCTTCGGCGGATCTCCCGATGTGGCCACGAACCGTGTGAACGGTTCGCCGACATGGAAAGTGGAACCGCATGCGGGCGCTGCCACCCGGGCCTTCGGTGGAGCTCCCTATGGGGCCACGAAACGTGTCAGGGGTGCACCGAACTGGGGGGGTGGAACCGCATGCGGGCGCTGCCACAGAAACCTTCGGTGGAACTCCCGATGTGACCCCGAAGCGGGTAAGGGGTGTGCCCGAACAGTGACATGCGCAGGAGAAAGGCAGGGATGGGAACTGGGATGGGAGGAGGGAGGAGGGGGGGATAAGAAGGAGAGGAGCTGTCTCTTCAAACGAGGGCCCGAGATCACTATGTCTGTACAGCTGTATATATATATATATATATATATTCAAAGACAAAAGCAACCATACATACAGACAAATCGCCATGTGCGTATATAGATGGGTGTATATATAAGTATATACACACTTGCATATGCCCGTGTGTTGTAGAGTGCCTTCACTATATATATTTACATATATATATAAACACTTGTCTGTGTGTATATAAGCACGCTCACATATGAATACATGCATGTAGAGAGATGGCGCGACAGAGAGAAAGAGAGATAACCAGACACACTATTGGAGAGGGAGTAGAAAACAACTATCCGGACGAAGGAGCCAAACATAACCAATTGGGGATACCACCTTCTGGGTACACATTTCGACTGGCCTCCATATGAGGCCACGATCCTGGTGAGGGGTCACTTTCTCTTCAAACGAAGGTCCAACACCACAGGCATGTGTTTGCCGACACCCGAGTGTCATGTGAAATGCGAGAGTAGTGTTCATATTTAATAACTGCTGAGAGGGGTTGGAGAAGGAGGAGGACCAGAAGGAGGAGCAGGAGAAGGAGAAGGAGAAGGAAAAGGAGAAAGAGGCGGAGGAAGGACCAGCTGCGCAGCACCGCCAGAGTGGTGCGGCCCGAGGGGGTCGCAATGGCGGCGTGGACGGGGCCTGCGGTTGGCGGGGTGGACGCATGTGAACGCGGCCGCTGGGGCCTTCGGTGGAACCCCCTGTGGGGCCACGAACCGTGTGAAGGGTGTGCCGAAATGGGCATGCGGTGGGCGGGGTGGACGCAGGCGAACCCTGCCACTGGGGCCTTGGACGCCATGCTCCCTATGAAGGCACGAACCGTGTGAGGGGTGTGCCGACATGGGCATGCGGGGGCCGGGGTGGACGCATGTGACGCCTGCCACTTGGGCCGTAGGCGCCATGCTACCTATGGGGCCACGAACCGTGTGAGGGGTGTGCCGAAACGGGCATGCGGCGGGAGGGGTGGACGCATGTGAACGCGGCCACTGGGGCCTTGGGTGGAGCCCCCTATGGGGCCACGAACCGTGTGAGGGGTGTGCCGAAATGGGCATGCGGTGGGCGGGGTGGACGCATGTGATAGCGGCCACTGGGGCCCTGGGTGGAGCTCCCTGTGTGGCCAGCCACGAACCGTGTGAGGGGTGTGCCGATATGGGCATGCGGAGGGCAGAGTGCCGAAATGGACATGCAGAGGGCAGAGGCACGCATGGGAGGAGGGAGGAGTGGGAGGAGGAGGAGAGGAGGAGAAAAGGGGGCGCCCTGTTCAAAACGAGGACCCAATACAGGATGGTTGGGAAAAAAAGCGAGAGCCAGAAAGAGAGAGAGAGAGAGAGAGCAACACTCAGAACAGGCAGCAGAGAGGTCAACCAGACGAACAGCACGAGCATCAGACTGAGTTGAGACAGCGCCAGTTCAAAATCGGTTATGGCCCCCTCCCGAGGTCCGAACGCATAAATTGATCGAGCTGCGTGCGGCCACGGCGACGAGGGGGCTGCTCGAAGAACACCTGCCCCTGAGATCCGACGACGCGAACGAAATTACAGCATCGTGAAACATAGCGACCAGATCCCAAGGCCCGATCGACCAGATCGACCTGCGAAGGCCCCGTGGCCCGAAAGTATGCCCTTCTTCTCCGGCCCGCCCCCTCGAGCCGTCTTCCTGTTCCTCCGCTTAAGCTAGTGTGATTTGGTTCGGGCTTCGCCCGGCCCCCCCCCCCGACGAAAACCGACGCTGCAATGTTTGGCCAACTCGTTCCGCCTGCGTTCCGCCCTCCACGCTTACGAGGCGAATGCTGCGCGAAACGCGAGACGGTTGGGCCGAACTTGAATGGGCGGCTGCGCGCGCGAAGCGTGTGTTAGGTTGCAGTCGCGGGGCGAATCGCGGAGGGGAGGCGGAGGAGGAACGCGGGGGACTATCTCTTCAAAACGAAGACCCAACACCACAGGATTGCTGGGACAAAAGGAAAGGATCAAGTGATGACAAGTTTCAGAAAGTGATTCCAAGAGGTGTAATAGAGTTATCAAACAGCTATACATAACTATCAACTTGACGTGCGTGCAAGTTAGACGACACCTTACATGCCAAGTGCACAGATCATCGTAGTAGTTGACCAGCGTCGGCCACTCGGCCATGCGTAACAGCTCGTTGTTCAGAGCCCCCCCGAGGTCGTCGGGACAGGCCACCACTCGAAACCCGTTGCGCCCACGCGCTGCAGGGATGCGCAGCTCGTCCTCCTTGGAAATCGACGGGAGCGCGCCGATCTTGCCTGCTCTCTCTGCCTCGGCCCGCTCGTGCGGCAGGTCGATGTTGTATGCGGTGTCTGCCAGCAGCCTCGTCGGGCTGGCCGCTCTTGTGGACCCTTCAGCCTTATCGCCCATCGCGCCTGACCGACGCGTCATTCTCCCGGGGCAAGTGCTCGGCGGTCTCTTCCTCGGCGATCCTGGCCCGACACTCGGGCGCGCCGAAGGGTGGCCTCCTAAGCGCCTGGCCAGCAATAGGGTAACCCTGGACGGCGCCTCGTGACCCGCTCCTGTGGGGGCCGGTCTCGTCGCCCCTTCCCTGGGCTCTCCCGCCGCAACGCGCATCCCGGGGGGGACAAGCCGCCCAGGGCCGCTGGGCCCGGTGCGACAAGGCCGGGTCGACCTTGACATGCAATCCTGGCCTCCAACCCTCGTCCTCCTCCGCGGCCTGGCTGGCGCCGCGCCGATCCCTCGAGACGGTTGCTAACTGACGCAGGGTCTGCAACTCGCCGTCGTCCACGAAGGCCCCGCGGTCCCGCTCCAGCGCCTCCGGGGGGGGGAGGCGATGACATCGCGCGCGCTGCCGAAGTCGCTGGGTCCTTCCTCAAGCTGCACCCGTTGCCGTTGGCTGTGGTGACACTGCCCCTGCTTCTCGTGCCAGGAGAATCAGGGGCAGTGTCACCACAGCCATGGCCCAGGCACGCGAGGATTCCCTGCTGCATCGCGCGCTGAGAAGCGTCGCGCCCCATTCGCGAACACTTGTGGGGCCACCGCTCGGCATGGTACAAATTACTATGCTGCCAACGCAAATTCACGAACTTCGCTGACCCCTTGACGTTCGACTTCTCGCCGTAGTCACGCAGCAAAGCAACTGGGTCTCCTCGCGCCAGATCCCTGCACTTTCCATGCTATGCTGGCACGCCCGGCTCGGACTTGGACTTTGTGCTGGCGTCGCGCAAGAGCTCCACCGGCGCATCTGAAGGAGACCAACGTCCACGGAAACAGCCGCGTTGACCGCAACGTTCGGAACTCTGACACTACCGAACACCGAACTGAAACCCTATCACCGCGCACCCGCGGCCACAGGCCACAGCTCCCGCACCAACCGCTCTCGCGGGCAGACAGGGCTTCGGAGGGGGATTATCGGCGCGTCGAGGTTGGGTGTCAGTGGCCTCCGTCACGCATTCGTTTGCAGGGACACGCACGCGATGGTCCCCCGACATACGTGGATCTTCTTGTCCTGCGGCTCCTCCAACCAATTGCTCCATCAGCGTGACGTCGGGGCGATAAGCGTGGAATGCTGCCAGCTGCACCCACCACTTCCTCTTGATGCCTGAGCTGAGGGGCGGGCGATCCAAGCGACCAGCGGTATGGCCCACGTTGATGATGGAGTGGTGCGGACAGCTCGTCAAGTCGCGTGCCCTCAGACAAACCTAGAACTCGCTGTCCGCTGCCATGCCCATGCCCGGACCGCGCAAGTCTGGCACTTTTCCTTCAGCAGCCGCAAGTGCATCCCCGGGTGGCACCGCGCTCGACCTCCATCAGGATGTCTGCGCCCCCCCGCCCTCAAAGGCACACAAAGGAACTCACTGCACCGCCTACGACTCTTCCGCTGCTCCAGACCCAGTCCCCCTAGATCAGCTCCAACACGTTCAAGAACGACCCACCGAGCCATCTCATGCACACGTCGCCGAAACTGAACCATCCGAAGAGATCCTCTGCGATCTCTTCATCCTCGTTCTCCTGAGGTTCCTGTAGCGATGGGCGCGGAGTTGCACGCTCACGCCGCCTCGCACTCAGTCCCCACCCCGATTCTCGCTCCAATCCTCCTCCTCACTGCCTCGCCCTGCCGCGGCCTCCTTGACTACGGAGCTGGGGGGCCGCCTCGCACGCAGGCGGGGCCGCTCGGCCTCGGGCGGGGCCCCTCCTGACGGCGCCACCTGCCCTCCTCGTCCCTTGCCGGCAGCCTGCATGCCTGGCGTGTGCCTGGCGTGCTCGCGCCGCCGCCAGCAACCCAGGATCATCACCCCTGCCTCTCGGCAAGGGCCCGCAGCTCAGCCTCCTCCCCGGCTTGCGCGCCAGAGGTTGCCTCATCTTTCGCGGCCAGCGGGAGCGACGGCGTAGCCCTCCTGGATGGGTATATCCACCTTCGGATCCCAGCAACACCCGCGAGTCCTATCAGCATCGGGAGGGCCGCCACCATGGGCATTATCCTGGCGGCGTCCCCTACATCTCCTCCTCTCGGCCTGGGGCGCCGCACTGGTGGCCCTTCCTCAAGCCACCCGCACTGCGTTCCTCCTCCCCGGGGCTCCTGGGCGGACTGGTTGGCCGTGCCAGGCCAGCCAGTCCTCCTCGGCGGCTCCTGGCGGCGAATCGGTGCGATCGCGACGCCGGCTGCGTGGTCCACTCGGGCCGCCCCCGAAAGGCGAAGCCTCCCCAGACCCCTTGGGCCCGGAAAAAGCCTTGAGCCCCAAGGGGCCGCGGAGCGGGAGAGGAGGAACGAGGAGGAGAGAGCGGTCCACCTGCGCTCGAACTACCACATGCATAAAAAAACAGATGATGGTGAGTGGGGGAGGTCGAAATCAAGTGCGGGCGGCAGCTGAAAATTTACCAGGGCGGCTGTGTTACAGCGTCGGGCGTGAGGAGTTTGCAACTGAGACTCCGCGTCCATCATCCAGCCCCTCCTCCTCCTCCTTCTCCTCCTCCTCGACCTCCTCCAAACATTACGCCTTATCCTGTGCCACCTCTCATTTTGCTTCTCGACTCCTCTGCCTACGCAGGAGACTGGACAATGCCCAGGCCTTCTGCGAGAAGCTCGTGACGTGCGCGATGTGGACCGGCGGCAACTGCGCGCACTCTCGGCCCCTCCTCTCTCCTCATACTCCTCATCCTCCTCCTCCCTCCTTCCTCCCTCCGTCATCCTCCCTCCCTCCTCCCTCCTCCTCTCCCCAGCGCAAGCTGGCCCGAGCATCTGCTCTGCCAGCCAACGCCACGGGCGCCCCCCCGCGCCGCTTCCTCCTTTCCCCCCCCTGCCCCTCTCAGCGGGCGCGCCATGGATTCCCCCGAGCGGGCGGCCCGGCCCCGTCGCAGGCCCCCCCGCAGTGCCGCGGCCCGGCATGAGCAGTACCGCCGCGCCGACGCGCGAGCGGTGCAGGGCCTGCTGCGGGCCTTCGACGCGCTGGCGCATCGCGGCTCGTGCAGCTCCCGGCTGGGAGGCGCGCTTCATGCGGCTCTTCTGTCCACGGCCGCAGCCGAGCGGGCACCGCAGCCTGCCCCCGTAGCGCGCGCCGCCTCACCAGTACCAGCGCCAGTACCTGAGCCAGTACCAGTGCCAGTACCTGTGCCAGTACCTGAGCCAGTGCCAATACCAGCAGTGCCAATTCCGCATTCGCCAGCAGTGCCAGTACATACGCCAGCAGTGCATATGCCAGCAGTGCCAGTACAAATGTCAGCAATCCCAATGCCAGCAGTGCCAGTACATACGCCAGCAGTCCCAGCTCCAGCAGTGCCAGTACATACGCCAGCAGTGCCTCAGCCATTATCAGTGCCAGTACCTGTGCCGGTACATACGCCAGCAGTGCCAGTGCATACGCCGGCGACCGTGCAGCAGCCTAGGGCCTTCACGCAGCCCTCAGCCACGCTCAGGTTTTCAGCAGCCTCTCCGAGGGCGCAGGCGGTCTCAATGTCCGGGGCGCCACAGCCGTGCCCCACGGCTCTGAGACCGCCACGACCTGGCAGTCCCCGGCCTTTTTTCACTAGCACTCCTGCGCGAGCGGCACTGGACGCGGCGGCTGCCGCACGGATGCCTACCGCAACCGCTCCTTCGTTGCCTCTGGGGCGCCCCTATTGGGATCTGCCTCCGTCCTCTGATGCTGAAGACTCAGAGGCAGCACTGACGTGAGTCGTCTCACACTGCGCCCGCGTAAGCACTTAGCCCACCGGCCCGAGGCAGCCGGCCGCAGCGAACAAGAGCTAGCATCGGCGCCCCTCGAGTCTCACGGCCTCGTGCACCCAGCCCTGAGGGCTCTCCGCTCGAGGCGGCTTTAGCATTCTGGCCCAAAAGCCGGCTACCGCTGGGTCGCTTGCCCGTCAGGGTCGGCGCGATGCGATGACGCCGTGCTCACGCCGTGCCTCTCTCTCCCTTCTTTCCTCCTGTGCACCTGTATTTGCGCTTTTGTCTATCATATTCGTTCACCTGTCCATCCTCCTCCTCCGCCTTGGTTCGTCCCGTGTTTCACCCTTCAATGGCCAGGTACTCGCATGGACAAGCGTCACACAAACACGGCACAGGCATGTGCATCCCATGCACAGCTCTCTGCTCTTTGCTCTCTGCTCACGCTCGAGCGCCTCTCGCCGCCTGCCTTATCGGCATCACATGTCCAGTTTTGGATCTAGGGTACGGTCATCGTCCTATAAGCGCTTTTGCCATTGAGCGGCATGCCACACTTTGCATTTGCGTCCGCCCGACGGCGAGGGCCGCCGGGAACAGCACAGCTCGCAACAGTGCTAGGACGCTCGGCCGAGGCCGCCCAAAGCGCGAAGGCCTCTGGTAAGGCCAAGCCAATGCTCGATGCTAGGTCGCAGCACTCTTACGACTTGCACTGCGTGGCTCAGCCGCTTTACGCGCACAAGCCGATATACGTTGACGGTTGACACCGAAAGCCCACTCAGTGCATCTCCTCGATCCTCTTTTTTGCCCCTTGGCACTCCCTCCTCCTGGTCCTTTCCTCGCGCATTACGTATTACGTGCCGTGCAGTACGCTCCATGTCCAGGGTCATTCGCACACCAGGCCAAGGGACCACACCACATTCGGCGTCAGGATTTTTGGACAGCGACCGTAGACTGCTTTCAGCAGCCCTGTGGCTTCCGACTCGGCGCAGTGCGCATGCACCTGTCACGCACTTGTCTCAGCGGCACCCCGCCTCAAGTTTGCAGGTCTCGGCGAAGCCGCAGGCGCTACCAGTCATCTTCCACAGAGTGGTCCTACAGACAATGCCATGACAGTTTACTCGATTCCTCCCTCTTCCTCGGCACGGCCGGCCAGACAATGCTAGCAACGCATTTTTCAATGCAATGTTATGTCATACGTTGCACCGTCTTGGCATATAGCTGGTCTCCATGCGGCCGTCTTCGGCGCAAATGGCATTTTCCGCTCACGGCAGCTCCTTGGCAGAGCATCCTCCGGGGAACCCCCCCTCCCTCCTGCCGAGTATCTCTCGGCTAATGCTGCCCGTCAGAGGTGCGCACCTGCTGCGGACAGCTACCTCGCCTTAGTGCTTCTTGGCTGTGCAAGATACTCCTTCTCCCCCCCTAGAGTTCCTCCCTCCTCCTCTTACCACGTGTCG